ATACACTATTTTCTTCTGAGACAAGTGCAACAACCTAATGAGAGTGAGTTGTGGTTCAACATAGCTGGAAGATTCGTGCGGTTCTCAATTTCAGAATTTTGTTTGGTGACTGGTTTGAGATATGTCGGCGATGATGACACAAGTAGGATGGAGAAGACTCCATCACGATTGAAAAATTTGTATTTTTCAAGGTTGAAAAATGTTACTCATGAAAATATCAAGGACGCATTTTTTGGTTCTACTGACATTCTGGATGAGGATGTTGCCATGCTAGGTGCATTGTATTTCATAACATCTTATCTACATCCGAGAGACTACAAGAAGGCTGTGGAGCACTTCTTATTTATACTAGTTGAAGATTTTAGTGCGATGAATGTGTTTCCATGGGGTAAGTCGCTATTTGACAAACTAGTAAATTCATTGAGGGAGGGGTTGAGTAAGAGATCAACACATTGCAGACTCAGAGGCTTGCTTGTAGCCTTTCAAGTGTGGATTTACGAGACAATACCCAGTCTCGATGGATACACTGCGAGAAGGATTTCCAGAGTGTACCCCAGGATAATGAACTGGACGGCTGATGATCACCCTTCGGCTGCGAAGCTTGAGGGACCTGAATGCTTCTCCAATCCCGACGTAAGTGACCACCGATGCAGCAGCTCTGGTTTCAAAATATTAAACTGGCACATTTTTTTCATGTTCCAGATCATATTTCTTAGGTCACAAATATATTTTCGTCAAGTCACAAATTGCATTCTCGAAGTCACAGATTTACTCATTATGTCACAGATCATTTCATACTAGGTCACTGACATTTTCTCGGCGCCATTTGCCCTTGTTATATCACAATTAATGCAAACAAATTGAACATGTGTGATGTGCAAAGCTATATCTGTTTGTTCATACATAATTTTTGGTTGTTGACATTGCACTTTTTGTTGTGATATGAATGGCAGTTGGTAATATGTGACTTGGACCCCCCACCAGCTGAATTGGCAATGCCATACATGAGTCAGGTGCAGTATGAGAAACCTATCCTACCCAATTGGTCACATGGGGAGAAGAGAAAGGGTGGTAGCATACACCGATCAGATCATCGTGCTGGGACTAGTACAAAACCAAGTAATCCAAGAATGAAACATTCTACTCCCATGCTTTTGATAACCGATGGACGATTGGGACACTCTGATCTCCCCGTTGATGATGATGACTTTGTTGACGCACCACCCAGTTGGAAGGGGACATCAATCCATGAAGATTCTCCAACTGGGGAGTTTAAG